AGGAGAAACAATCAAACTTTATTCAGTGATAATAAAATTAACAGGAACAAATGAGGAGAAACAACCAAATTTTATTCAGTACTAATAAAACTAACAGGAACAGCTGGGGAGAAACAACCAAACTATTCAGTACTAATAAAACTGACAGGAACAGCTGGGGAGAAACAACCAAACTGTATTCAGCGCATGTAAAACCAACAGGAACAACTGGGGAGAAACAACCTAACTATATTCAGTGATAGTAAAACCAACAGGAACAAATGAGGAGAAACAACCAAATTTTATTCAGTGATAATAAAACCAACAGGAACAGCTGGGGAGAAACATCCAAACTATTAAGTACTAATAAAACTGACAGGAACAGCTGAGGAGGAACAACCAAACTGTATTAAGCGCATGTAAAACCAACAGGAACAACTGGGGAGAAACAACCAAACTATATTCAGTGATAATAAAATTAACAGGAACAGCTGGGGAGAAACAACCAAATTTCATTCAGTGATAATAAAATTAACAGGAACAGCTGAGGAGGAACAACCAAACTATATTCAGTGATAATAAAACTGACAGGAACAACTGAGGAGGAACAACCAAACTATATTCAGTGATAATAAAACCAACAGGAACAGCTGGGGAGAAACAACCACATTTTATTGAGTGAAAACCAACAGGAACAAATGAGGAGAATCAACCACATTTTATTTAGTGATAATAAAATTAACAGGAACAGCTGGGAAGAAACAACCAAACTATATTCAGTGATAATAAAATTAACAGGAACAGCTGGGGAGAAACAACCAAATTTCATTCAGTGATAATAAAATTAACAGGAACAGCTGGGGAGAAACAACCAAACTATATTCAGTGATAATAAAACCAACAGGAACAAATGAGGAGAAACAACCAAACTTTATTGAGTGATAATAAAACCAACAGGAACAGCTGGGAAGAAACAAAGATGATATATTCAGTAGAATTGACACATACAAAAACAGCTCGGTATAAACAGACTATTCAGTGTAAGAGCAACCTTTAATATCTGTGTTTGTACATTTGATTCTCCGATTTTCGAACGTTATGTTGTTACAGCGAAGAGTAAAAAGCTAACATTTCTGTTGGTGTAAATCAGTTTATGAAAACTGTCAGTCTGGTTTTGATATATTGCTTCTGTTTTTTCAGAACTACAGAGACGATCGACGACGAGCTCAGATGAAAGTAGCAGGTCAAGTTTTACAACGATCAGCAGTTATGTTTCTCACATCTTCAAAGGTAGATTAGCAATGTGTTCTGACTTTCATATTTCATGTTCGTTTTATACTTCTGATTCAGTACTTCATAGGAACAATCCTTTCTTCAATTATTTCTGTCACATATTCTACGAAGCTTTTACTAGTTATAGTGCATTATTTACTCTACTTAATGAACCATGTTGAACACTGGAACTCCGACGTTATGAATAACAATTGTTTGGTGGACTAATGTCACAACGATACTCTGTAGACGAACGTAACATTCTACAACGGTTAATCTGTAGACTAATGTAACAAACTTCAACGGTTATTCTATAGACTTATGAATCATTTTACAACTTCTATTTTAAATGTCTGAATTCTCTCTGTCTTGTTTCGAAATAGAATTATAAGATACCAATGTTGGTTTCAGTATATATTGAAACTGGAGTTTCATTCCTTGTTTTAAAATATATATATATGATTAATATGTTTTACGAATTCCCGTCTAACTCCTCACCCAACTGATAACAGTTTGATATTTTTGAACTAATTCAAAATGTTCTTATTGAAACTTTTATCATTTTAATACCAGAAAGACTGATGTAAAAAAAATTGTTTTAGAAAATTCGTTGATCAATTTTCACCCCACACGTTTACCACCTAATATGTACGAAATAGTTTAAAAAACTCTAACTGGAAACGAAGAATTGACAGCTAAGTGATGCTAGTTTGACGAATTAGGTAATTTTTTTGTTACGGAATTCGGAGTAAATGTGTTTACATTTTAAAAACTGGTTGCTCCTTTTTTTAATTGAAGGCTTGTCTGTGCCACCCTGACTGTGAAACAGCTCGAGAGAACAGAGACTCGGTTTTCCTACAGATGAGAAGAGCTATGGACCTCATTCACTGTATACTTAAAGACGGCGTTCTTCCGGACTTGGTAGCCTCTAAGAGAGATAACACTGCTCCCAAGAGGAACGGGACTGCTGTTGGCAAACAAAACAAACGTTTTCATTCTTCGGTGTGGAAACTTGAAGAGTTAGAACAATACTTTACAGTGCACAATGCTTTGAACAGATTCGAGGTAAGCCAGTAGAGACCAACACCCAGTTTATATGGGATACAAGCTTGATGTTTTAGATCACTTGGTATTCTGCTCTTACCTTCTACCAGTATGTCTGTGTTCGTTAAAATATTTATTAACTCTTGTTTTTCTTTACTATCGACGGTTTATTGGCAGGATCTGTTGGATGGAATCAAGACAATAGTAGCGGTATCAGTGTATAGGGACCAGTTGTTAAGTGCCTTAGAAACTATTGTGGAACGAACTCAAGATTTCACTGACTCGGCCTACACTTCCCAAGAACACAGGGAAAATATTTTACTCATCTGTGAGCGTGTTAAAATAGACCTTAACCAAATATTGAGAATAGGAGTTGAACTGGTGAGTCTTAACGATGGAATTAATATATATATATTTGTCTATATTTAATTGAAGTCTTAGAGACCTAGATACGGAAAAGCTACAATACGAATGACCTTGGTGAACTTAAATAATGAAAAGTTATCAAATAGTCCTATTTGGGTTTAGCGTTGTTGTGCCGTGCACAGTAGGCTGTCTGTACTATGCCCACGGCGAGGAATCGAACATTGAATTTTTGCATAAACGTATCGCTGTCGCACCTAGAGACACCAATTTTCAGCATAATTAGTGTGAATGATAACGACATAAGGTGATTAGTCGTTAGCGGAAAGGTTTACTTCAGAATCTAAAACTTAGATAAACAGCATAAACAGTAAAACCTTGACATTAGCCTAATATGAGCTGACTACAGCATTAAAACAGTAAAATATTGACGTTTAAATAATATGAGCTGACTACAGAAATAAATCTCTAAAATATTGACGTTTAAATAATATGAGCTGACTACAGAAATAAATCTCTAAAACTTTGATGTTAAAATAATATGAGGTGACAACAGCATTAAAACAGTAAAACCTTGACGTTAACCTAATATGAGCTGACTACAGCATTAAAACAGTAAAATATTGACGTTAAAATAATATGAGATGACTACAGCAATAAATCTGTAAAACCTTGACGTTAACCTAATATGAGGTGACAACAGCATTAAAACAGTAAAACCTTGACGTTAACCTTATATGAGCTGACAACAGCATTAAAACATTAAAACCTTGACGGTAACTTAATATGAGCTGACTACAGAAATAAATCTCTAAAACCTTGACGGTAACCTAATATGAGCTGACTACAGCAATAAAGTTGTTTTACCATAGACACAATTTTAAGCGTAACTGTCATTTTCAAAAATAAATCAGATAAATTTGGATGGATTTAATGCTTAAACAAATTGGACAGTTATATAAGTTGGGTCAAGGTAACCATCTTGTAGGTTTTCAAAGCCCAGATCTCTAAGTACAGTGTTATGTATATTTTGTGTATTTGCGAATTCATTCTTTCCATATATACCAGCCGGATATCTGTCTGTCTGTCATGCTCTGTATCTCCAGAACGGTTGGTCTTAATATATATATATATGTGTGTGTGAAAATAATTATTTTCAATAGTATATTACAGGAAAATTACTAACTTTTTACACTTCTTAAAACTTCATATTGATATCAACATCGATATGTCTTTGTGTGTGCTGAGAACTTAAGAACAAAAATGTTTCTTTTTTGTGATGGAAAATTTCATGAGAAAAACGGGAGTTTCTTCGTCTACTGACAGAAATATTTCAAAGATAGGAGAATTAACTGTAAAAACGCATAAAGAGGGGAACCTGCTTGATGATATTTTTGTTATTGTCTAGTTTATATACATGACTGATTTTATTGTAGCATGTCACATAAACTGATCTGAATAAAACTAAATATCTCCCCTTTGACACTTCTCATAGAAATGACAACTATAAAAACCTCTCATTTCAGTAGCGGTCTTTTCTTGCGCTCTGTAAAATGACAAGGAACGGTGGCATTCAGCGGAAAAATTCCCGCGGCTACTTAGTAAACTTGAACGCTCTATTGTGCTATATGCACTCATTTCATCGTAACCCAAATATTTTTGCTAACAATGCATTGCAGTTAATCTCCTTTGCTTGAAAACAAATGGAATGCAATTTTCTTTATCGAAACAACACATAAAATAACAAAAAACAAAATACGGTCGGTCGTAAACAGCCTACTGGACAATCATATTGCATATACGCTATGATCCAAGGAACTTAGTAGACTGCATATTTTAAGATTATTTATCACTATTTTTAGGAAAATCACCGTTGGATTATTATTTTATTACAGCTTACAGTTTTTACAGCAATGAGGAATATTTTTAAAACAGGTACGACATTTCGATCACTGGTGCGATCATTCTCAATTACAAAATTCTTAACGGTAAAGAAGGTTTTAGTATTTAAATCAACATTCAACAATCTAGCAATGTATTTAAATTTTAGGATAGTAGTTACTTATCCATGTACATATCAATCCACGTGAATACACAGATTATTTATTTATAACTGAACAAGAAAACAAACGATAAGTGAATAAATACGAAAATGTGGAAATGTTGTGTGAAATATTTGCATAAGATTAGGAATGTCTGGTAAATAACGATCAGAGATGTGACTGGGTATTTGTTAATTGTAGAATTCTTTGTTTTTGTTAATAAAGCTCTCTGTCTTTTCTTCTATTAATGTCATGTTTTAGTACTGAGACATTCAGTTCAGAAAATCTGAGTTTGTTTCTGTTCATATGTTCGTGGACTTGGGAAGGTAACCCGATGTTCATATTATGCCATGTCTCACCTAAGTAAATGACAGGGTTATTGTTACACTGTATTTTTTAAATGTGTCCTGGTAGGGGGAGGGGAGTGATATGTACATTTTCTAAAATGTGTTTAATTTTTATTCATGGGGTGAAAGTAAACCTAGTCGTTATGTTAAGGTTATATTTATGTGCTAGTCTTTCCCAAATTTCTGGTAGAAGTATCTTCTATATATGGGGTAGTGTAAGAGGGCTCGCTTTTTATGTTTTTTTAGTTTGTCTGTGAAGATATGAAGAAAAAACAACAACAGTTTGTCTGAACAGTGCTAAAACATGAACCTGAGATTAATGAATGTTGAATATTGATTTAAATACTGATAACTTCTTTACCGTTAAAACTTGTGTAATTGAGAATGATCTTCAACTGTTCTGAAACAAATCTTACTTACTGTAAAAGCTATAACTTGTAAGAAAATAATACCTATTATCAGTAAGGAAACTCAAAAAGAAAATATTACAGTTGAATTGTATGAATGAGCATCTACTAGTATTAATAAAAATGGAAAAGCAAAGTCATTTATATTGATATATAGGTCTGTGACAACGTTTTTTAAATTTGAGCCTGTTTTCAGGACCAAGCCGTATCTCTATCTCCTACTGAAGACTTAGAAGTATCCATTCAACATCTCCTTAAGTCATGCGAGGACTTGAAAAAGCAAGTAAGAAAAATAATAGTTATAAATTCATGATTTGCTTAAAACTGATATCTCGCATAGCATTCACTATACGATTGTGTAATTTGTAAATATTTTGTAATATGAAAATCAGATTCAAACACTAAGATCATATAGAATACTGATATGTCAGTTTAAAATGTAAAATGTTGAAGTTAGAATAACAAAGGAGTCTAAGAACAATGTAGAAGTATGAATGTAAAACAATGTAGAAGTATGAATGTAAAACAATGTAGGAGTATTAGTGTAAAACAATGTAGAAGTAT